GTAGGTTTAGATGAAATTACCAAATCTCCAAAACTAGATTTAGCTCCTTTTTAACTATAAGGGGGCGTTCTTTTTCGGATTTTGAGAGGGGGGAAAGTTGATCAATGAGATTTGGTTCCCATTGACCAAGAAACCCATGTTCTTTTTTCAAATTTCTATGGGGACCAGGGAAAGTTTATTTTCTTGGGTACCACTTACTAGAGTAACTAGGTAAGTGATACCCATCTCCTAAGTGGGTAAATAACTTTCCCACCTAGGAGGAAAGTTGCTAACATTTGAATGGGACAAAAGTGCCCCTTTTAATAATATATTTTTATGGCTAAAATGGTCATTGCTTTATTTACATGAGAAATAAAAGAACATGGGTAAATGCACTTACCCGGGTAAGTGTTTCTCATGAAAAACTTACCTAGGTAACTGCATTTACCTAGATAAGTAACTTACCGAAAAGCGAACATGACCTAAAAAGGAGATAAGGCCTTATTAAACGCACTACCAAATGCAACCTAAATAGTCATGGAAAATTCCATAAACCTTGGTGAAAAAAGTATTCACAAAGTTTACAAGGAAGAAGGAGGCCAAAAACCTCAAAAAAACTTGGGGAGGTTGAGGAGAAGAATTCTTTGGCTTTTACCAAGTGCTGAAGGAGAGAATGTCTCGCTCTAGCTAATCGTTTCTCATAAAAGAGAAGCATGCTTTGAATATCAACTGTAGTCAAATCATCCAAATGAATAGTGGCTAAATGCCCAAAGGCACCATATCCAGGCCCAAGTCCTCCCAACAAATGGTGAATGGAATCCATTTATGGAACATATTTCGCAAGAGGTAGAACAACCTACAACTTGTTCTAACATGAATTCGGATCAGCTAAATGCTTTAGCTATGTAGTTCATGGTTTTCAAAACCAGACTAGAAAAACCGGGAACCGGTCAAGTGACTGGTTCTGTTTTTCCCCAAAACCGGATCTTTCCCAAAAATCGTTGATTTTGGTCAGTAAACCGCTGACTTAGGTGGTTAACCATTCTTTTATTTTTTAATTTTTTTTTATTTTTTGTCAGAATGGGCCAATCGTTTGGTTCGAACGGTCGAACCGTTCGACCTGGAAGCCGGACCCCTGACCGATTCGTTCTCTGGGTCGGTTTTAAAAACCTTGGTGTAGTTAAATACTTTATCATTAGTTTCACATCCTGCTGCATAGCTATTGCGTTCAACTAATCTTATCTCAACTAACACAAGTTTAGTAAGAGAGGATAAAAACCAACTAAAAATGAATTGGTCTTATTCTATCCAGGATGTATAAGTAGGACTGATCTCTTAGGCACTTGAGTTTGGTTTTGTCGAAGAAGAAACACAGCATTTGGAAGGGCATTAGAATGATCCATCCACATATCCATAGATGTGAATTCCGTTCAAGGCAAAGACAAATGGAGCCATCCACAACATTTGAGAAACCTATAAATTGGTGCCCAAATCATGCCAAAATATTTGAGAACTTCATGAAACTTTGTAGGACCATTGCTCATACTATCAGAAGATTGAGAAAAATTTTGGGTCAATGAGTTGGCCTAAGTCAACCCTTAAACCATTTGATTAAAATGAGTTGGCCTAGTTTGATAGGTCAAATCAATCAAACATGCGGATTGCATTAACTTGGTCTGGTTCAAGTTTGCTGTTTTGGATCAGTTTGGTCTGGTTAGGTTGGACCGGTCAAAGTGGTCCGCACATTGGGTCACCCTGTCATAACTCGCCTAATTAACTTGTATCAAATCACTAAGTTAACTCATTGAGTTGATTCCTATGAGATGTCGGAACAACGGTTTGGGAGCGTTGGAGGATTTCCTTACGGAGTGCCTTGAATTGCTCACAAATTTTCATCTTCTCAAGTGACAGGTTGCGCAAAATAGGCCTATTTTGTACATCCCTCTTGGCCATCGACAACCAACCACCCAAAATTTATTGTCAGTGGTCAATAGCCTCAATTGTTACTTCAAAACCGCTAGTCACTGCTTTGGCAATAGGAGTGGATTCGAGCCGAGCTGAGTCGAATAGTATTAGGTTTGAGCTTGGCTCAAGACTATTCTACAAGGCTCGAGTTTAAGCTCGGTTCGAGACAAAACCTTGAGTTTAAGCTCGGCTTGTTTTATATTTTATAAATATTTTATTATAAAAATATTTTATAAAAATAAAAATTATATATATTTTTTATTTTATATTAAAAAAATTAAGAATTATAATAATTAATAATGATAATATTTTTATCATATATTATATATATTAAATATCAAATATATATATATATTCAAGCTGGCTCGCGAGCCTCACGAGCCGAGCTCTAGTAAGCTCGAGCTCGGCTCGTTTAATATTCGAGCCACTGAATTGGGCTCGAGCTCGGCTGAAACCGAGCCGAATCGAGCTTTTCACGAGACGAGCTCAAACAACTCGTGAAAAGCTTGGCTTGTTGCCACCCCTATTTGGCAGTTCACAATAAAATTCTAGTTGTTTTTTTTTTTGAAAAATTGTTTTGACTTACCCAAAATACCATCTTTCTTGCAATAAGAAACATCCCATAACTATCAACATTGCTTTATATTCATTCAAAGATCCAACAAATCATTTTAAACAAAATGAAGATTTTAAACTACTGTTTCTTCTATGAGGTCCCCCTCTCCATCTTTTCTATTATCATACTCCATTCCAAGGTCACCCCTTCTTCTTCTTCTTCTTCTCGTATCTCACATCTTATATCTCACATCTATATCTTACATCTTATATGTCTTATTATTCTTTTTCTTCTCCTGTAACTTTCTTCCAGTTTAGGCATAGAGAGAACCCATCTATTCGACAGACTTACAAAACTATTATATCTCTTTCTAGTGTTTATTTCTATCATCATCAAGCAAAACTCTAAAATTTTGGGAACAATGAACGTAATTACTGTATTGTGTGTAAAACCCTGGGAACAAGGAATGTAATTATAATGCAAAAGTGTAAGACTAACCTGTGTAGTGCATGCTGATCTTTCTTGAAAGAACATAGAATCTAAGTAAGACCAATTCGAGCGAAGGCACGAATCCTCCAAAGTAAAACCTCTAACCATGTCAAGTTGCAACCTTTCTAAGTTGGGAGATATGCCAAGTTTTATGCAAATAAGAAAGTTCAAATTTTGATACTGAAGAGATGCAAGTTATTAGGTGGACTTTGAGAGGGGGAAAGTTGGTCAATGGGATTTTGGTTTCCATTGACCAAGAATCTCATGTTCTTTTTTCAGAATTATGTGGGGACCAAGAAAAAATTGTTTTCTTAGGTAAGTGATACTCATCTCCTAGGTGGGTAAATAATTTTCCCACCTAGGGGGAAAATTGCAAACACTTGAATGGGACAAAAAGTGCCATTTTTAATAATGGATTTTTATGGCTAAAATAGCCATTGCCTTATTTACATGAGAAATAAAAGAACATGGGTAAATGCACTTACCGAGTAAGTGTTTCCTAGGAAAAACTTACCTAGGTAACTGCATTTACCCGGGTAAGTAACTTACCAAAAAGCAAACGGGACCTTAATGGGACACATAATGTAGTTCTTCTTTTTTATGTAGATTGCATAAAATTCTATATTTTCTGATTATTTAGATCGAAAGATGGAAAGTAAAACTACTCTAGTGAATAATGGGTCCCCCCCTCTCTCTCTCTTTCTCTCATCTTATGGGTTTCCATGTGTCTTAAATTGGCATTTTTTTTTCATGAAAAGCACTCGTTTTTTGAAAGTGGACTTATCACTTTTTTTTAAATTAGGTAGATAGGTGTCTAAATTAGAGGGTTTTTCTTAGATTGAAAATATCTACTTATGAGATACTATTTCTTGAAAAATTAGGTTGCCAAGTGTGTGTGAGAGATGTGACCATGACACATCAATAATTGGGGGGAGATTTTCCAATTTCCCAATTTTCATTTCTTTTGTTTCATAATCTTTTCATTTCTACATTTCCAAATTTTCCCTAGCATGAAGGCTAACTTTTCCTCATTGGGTCTAGGATGGGGATTGATAGTGATGCCTGACGAAGGACAAGGACAAGGATGGGGAGTGATTTCCTCGCCTTGTTCCAACCCCGATTATATATATATATATATATATATATATATATATATTAAAATGATATGTAATATTATATTTTAAAAAATTTCCCTTATTTTAAGTAAATCTAGTTTTTTTAAATATTTTTGATTTATAAATTTTGGGTTTTGGGTCATAACGAAGAACCTGTCTCCATCGGGGATTGGAGATGGAGTATGGTCCATGCCCAGTTGCCATTACTAAAATTTTGAACATCTACATTCACAACTAAATATTCCTAATGTATGGCTGTGGTGTCTTGTGGGCATGGTTCAAAGTATTGATATATAACTCTATGTATTAGTACTTTTAAATGATACGTCTTTTATTATTTTTTAATTTTTCTTTTTCAAATTTCAATTTTAAGTATAATTATATATATTATTTAATAAAAAGATAATTCATAAAAACATCTATAAACATGTGTGTTGATACTAAAAGATATGATAATATACACCCATTTAATACTTTGAATCTTGCCTGGCCTAGAGAATCTGGACTATTATCCACTATATCCCTAAAAGGATTGGGTATGGATGGGAATTTTTTCTTTTCCATTGCTCAACTAACGGCTCGATGATCGATTTTCAAGCATTTCCTCTCATAGTCAACAGCCCGTTGCAATTTGAATTTTGGTTAGGGTTGGTTGAGCAAGAAGTTGGTCATTTGCATTTGCAAGGGTTGCATTGAGATTCCAGCCAGCAGAGTCTCTAGCTGTCGTCTTTGACATTTCTAAAAGAATTATTCAGATTTTTAGTGTGGGGTCTAACTCTTAGGTTGGAACTATAGAACGAAAGAAAAAACAAAATAGAAAGGTGGGACCCATTATGTAATTCTAATTACGGCAAGTTGTCGATGGCTTATTAGACCGGAACTGTCACCGAAGACCCCAAGCATTGAGAGCATCCTCCCTTCGTCTTCTCACTGGCGTAAGATAATTGGAAATTTGGAACCAATTAACCACATGGCATAAGATAATTGTAACTAATTAGCCACGTGGCGTAGGATTATTTTCAGTCTTTTACCAGAGTCGTCGTTTATTCTTCTTTCCTAGCTTTTACCAGAATCGTTAGGCTAAAAATCAGATTTTTGTTTTTAATTTTTTGGCTTTTTTATATTTACTTATTTGAACACGCTTGCTTATTATCGATTTTGAGTTATTTTTCAATGTTCTTCGCATTCTGGTCAGCTAGAATTTTCGAATGTTTAATCCGTTACCTCTGTAATTGCGGATTGGTCTTCGATGAAATGGATCTGAAGCCCTAGTTTGGATACTCAGATCTGGTTCTTGGATCATGTAACCTTCTGTTAAGTGCAGTAGAGAGGGTGTTGACACTTGACAGCGGAATTTTGCTTCTTTTGCTCTTGTTGAACCCTAATTCTTAGTTGATCGGTTTCGGACTTAGTTGTGCTTTAGCTGAGGATTCGTAGGGCGAATGGCGTCGGCGAAGTTGTCTAGGTCGAGGGTCCCGGCGGGTAAAGGATCAGCGGCGAATGGACATGCTCTAGAGAACGGCGTGCATCTTGAGGACAAGCTGAACGTGTTCATGATCAATAGTTTTGATCCTGACGGCTATGTTCAATCTAAATGTCAGTCACTGAATGAGAAGGTTTGGTTTCTCTTCCCCGGTTATTACATTGTTATGCTAAATTAGTATCTGTTTTCCGCTTTTTGACATTGCTTGAATAAAGCTTGAATTTTTAGTTTTTAAATGTATTTGATAAGAACTGGGGTCTAAGCATGATATGTCTATATGCTTGATTAAATGATTTGATTTGATTATTATTTCTTTCTGCTGTGTTTGAGGCTCTAAAAAATCAGGAATTGGAAAATGAGGGAGTGATGTTAGGAAGGGTAGGGTAAGAGGTAACATACTTGGGAATTAGTACCGCTGRACCTAGAAGCCAGGGGGAAGAAAGGTGTAGTGAGGAAGAGGAAGACTCAAAAGCAAATTTTGTTTGGAAGTTAGGGTGTAAATTTAAGGATCCGAATGAACTGAAAGCCTTTGCTAGAAAACTGGAAGATTGGGGAAAGTCAAAGAAGAGGAAGTTAAGTGAGGCAGAGAGGTTGAGGTTAGATATCGAAGGTGATAAAGAATTTAGTGGAAGAGGGGAGCGAAGAAGAGGAGGGAAGTAGGAGGGGAAGGTTAAGTGGAAAAAGAGGTTGAGGTTAGATATCAAAGGTGATAATGAATTTAGTGGAAGAGGGGAGCGAAGAAGAGGAGGGAAGTAGGAGGGGAAAGTTAAGTGGAACAAATGAAGATAATAATCTGGAATGTAAGAGGGCTAGGAAGCTCAAGGAAAAGAGCGGTAATCAAAGAGGTGTTGAGGAAAGAAAAGCCGGCAGCAGTTCTAATTCAGGAATCCAAGCTAGCTGAGTTTGATAATAGATGGGCTAGAAGTTTATGGAAGGCTAGAAACATCGATTGGGCGGTGGATGGACTTATTGGAAGCAATGGAAGAGCTGATTGGTAATTTCACTGTTTCTATCAAGTTCTGACAGATTGAGGATGGTTTTGAGTGGGTGCTAACGAATATTTATGGTCCAAATGGGTACATAGAAAGAGAAGAAATGTGGGAAGAATTGAGTGCTTTAAGGGGCTTATGGGAGGGTCCATGGTGCATTGGAGGGGATTTCAACGTGGTTAGATTTATAGAGGAGATTAACAAACAGAGTCAAAGGATAACCACAAGCATGAGAAAATTCAATCTTTTTATAAACTCCATTGAGCTCAAGGATCTCTCTCTCCTCCACCATAGATTCACTTGGTTAAATCTTTAAAGCAAACATATTTGTTCCAGATTAGATAGATTTCTGTTCTCAGTGGACTGGGAGGAACATTGGGGCGGGTTATCATCTAGAGCCCTACCTAGGGTAACATTGGATCATTGGCTGATAACTCTTTGTAAGGAGGAGTTGAGAGGTGTGGGCCCTGCCCCTTTTAGGTTCGAGAATATGTGGTTGAATCATCCAGGATTTACACAAAAAAGTGAAGGAGTGGTGAGAAGGAGAGAGCCCTAGAGTGAGATCGAAAGGAATGCTCTTTCATAGGAAGCTAAAGGCCCTGAAGGCTAGGATTAAAGATTGGAACTTAGGGCAGTTTGGGAGATTAGAAGAAAGAAAACAAGAGATTGTGGCTGGAATTGAAGAGGTGGGTGTCAGAGAGTTCTAGGGTCTATTGGAAGAGGAAGATAGGGGTGTTAAGGGGGTCGCTCATGAGACAATTGGAGGACATTTTGCTAAAGGAGGAGATTAGTAGGAGACAAAAATCGAGAGTTCAATGGCTTCAAGAGGGAGATATGAATACAAAGTATTTTCATGCTATGGCTAATGCAAGAAAAAGAAAGAATTTTATCTCCAAGTTGGAGATAGATGGTGAGGTCATATGTCAGCAGGGAGCAATTGCAAGGGCCTTTGTGGAACATTTTAAATCAATTTATAGAAGGCCATTAGATGAAAATCTATGGGCTGATGGTTTGGATTGGCCTAGCCTTTCGGGAGACCAAAAGTTTTGGTTGGAAAGACCTTTTGAGGAGGAGATAAAGAAGGCGGTGTTTTCTTTGGATAGAGCCAAAGCACCAGGGCCAAATGGTTTCACAATGGCTTTCTATCAAAACTGTTGGGAAGTGCTAAAAGAGGATCTAATGGGGGCTTTCAATGAGTTCTTTGAAAGGGGGATAATAAATCCAGGTGCGAACTCCACATTTATTGCCTTGATTCCTAAAAGAAGTGGAGCTAGTCACCCAAAAGACTTTAGACCCATCAGCTTGGTGAACAACTTGTACAAAATTCTAGCTAAGGTCTTGGCTCTAATAATCCGAGAAGTCCTCCCCTCCCTTATAACTTCCAATCAAGGGTCTTTTGTCCAAGATAGGCAAATCACTTATCAAATCTTAATTGCCAATGAATGTGTTGAGGAAATAAAGAGATCAAAGGAAAAAAGATTAATCTGCAAGTTGGACTTGGAAAAAGCCTATGACTTAGTTGATTGGACTTTCTTAATTGAGGTTTTAAGGCAATGTGGGTTTGGTGAGAGATGGTGCAAATGGATTTGGGGGTGCTTAAGATCTTGTCACTACTTTATCTTAGTTAATGGCACAATGGCGGATTTCTTTCCAGCTAAACATGGGTTAAGACAAGGAGATCCTTTCTCCCCTTTTCTTTTCACACTTATAGCTGATGTTCTAAGCAGAATTATCCTAAGGGCTGATCAGCGAGGGTTGTTGAGAGGGTGGAGAGTAGGAAGAGAGGGTGTGCCTATTACTCATTTACAGTTTGCAGATGATGCCATTCTTTTTTGTGAAGGAACTGAGTTGGAATGGGTAAGGAACATGAAGCTTTTAGTGCAGCTCTTTGAAAGGATGTCAAACCTTAGGATCAATTTTGAGAAAAGTTGCGTAGTGGGAGTAAATATGGGAGAAGGGGAATTGGTAGAATATGTAGAGATTTTAGGTTGTAGTGTTGGATTGTGGCCTTTGACCTATCTAAGTTTGCCCCTTGGAGCTAACCCAAAAGAAGTTGGTTTCTGGAATCCAGTCTTAGAAAAATTCTCTAAACAGTTAGCTGGTTGGAAGAAAGGGTATTTGTCGTTATGGGGCAGGATTACAATGATAAGCTCAACACTAGCCAACTTACCTGCCTACTATTTGTCACTTTTTAAGGTTCCAGTCAGTGTTTGCAAAAGCTCAGAGAAGATGATGTTATTGATCATCTGAATTTCTTCCTTTCATTATTGCACATCCACATTTTCACTCCATCATCCTGTAGCCAGTTGATCACCAATTTTGAGTCTCCCTCCACACTTAGTTTGTTGATGTGCAGAGTTTTCGCCCTTTGTATGCTTTCCATTACAGCCATGACTTCTGCCCTCAATGGGTCTCCTTCCCCTGCCAGCCCAGAATATAGTGCAATAATTCTGCCCCTTTCATCTCCAATGCCGGAGGGACCTGTACTTACCATTTTCTTCTCAGATAATAAAATTGATGTTATTGATCAAAAAAAAAAAAAAAAACCTAGGACTTCCTCCCAGAGGTAAACCCAAATTTATAATCTGCATTGAACCACTGAGCTGCCCAAAACCTCAGGATACCTCCTTATCCTCCTGATCTCTGATATTGCCCCCCCCACCCCATCCCCATAGTAAGATAATGTCATCTACAAAATTATAGATGGATGATTTGCAAATTGCAATCTCTCCCTACCCATCTGCCATCCTTTGAATAAACTGCACCTTTTATCTCTCAAAATTATCCCTTTAAAAACAATAAGGGTGAATAAGGACAAATAAAGGGTGTCTTCTTGTCTTAAACCCCTTTTTACTTGAAAGAAATCCTTCACACTCTATTAACTAAAACCGAGTAATGGCATGTGCTACCCCTCAATTCAAAGTTTCTGTTTTCCCCAAAACCACACTTCATGATCTCATCCAAAAAGGACAACTCCACTTTGTCATAAGCCTTCTCAAAATCTAGTTTGCATTACCCAACCTCTATGCCCTTTGATCATCCATACATTCTTTAGCAATTAAAACTTGATCAACAATTTGTTTTCCTTGCATAAAGGCCCCTTGAAATTGTGTGGTGATGGAGGGTTGCATTTCTTTCAGCCTTAATGATGGAACTTTAGAAATTATTTTATAGATAATCCCTACTAAACTAATTAGCCTATAGTCCTTGGGGTGACAAGCATCTGACTTCTTTGGCACTAGGTCTATAAAGGTTGCATTAACTCCTGGGTTTATGATTCCTCTTTCATGTCTTGAAAAATCTCTAACAAGTTAATCTTATGTGCACTCATAAAAAAAACATTCATCTTACGTACCTCCAATGTTAAAGAATGATTTTTTTTTTAACTTAACTTGATAGTCACATTTGTACTGAGGTTGTTCCTATAGACTCTTTCTAAAATGGCTAAATCATTGGATCTATGCTTCTTAGGTGGAGAGGACTTGGAGTTAGCTCAGTCATTTCTCAGTGAACTGAAAGTTACATATAGAGAGGCGATTATTATTGAGGAGGTTCTGTTCTTGTATAATGATTCTGTTAAGGAGCCTAAAAGTATTTCTAAGGAGGTTTAGGATTTGTTATGATGGGATGTGATGTGGTGGAACCAGAGTTGTTTAGGGTGAGGGGTTGAAGGAAGCTTGAGAGAGAGGGATGAGCAGAGGCAAACTCCTATGTTGACAGTAGCAATCAAGGTTGAATCTGAGGCTGGTGTTCTTCGGTTGGTCAGTCTTATTTTCTGGATTTGGGCATCATTGTTATATGAATTTACTTCTTGATTTTGCATGGCTTGGGTTTTTTGCTTATAGCTATAGGTTCTTGTTGTATAACACTGGTTGCTTAAAACTGGGTGTTTCTCCTTGTTTGGTTCTCTCTATTTTTGTATTTGTATTCGTATTTTGCCATTTGCTTGGGCTATATTGTCCATATAATATTATAGCTTGTATACGATGTTATGCATTTAGCATAGTTTTACTTTTTCTACCAAAAAAAGCATAAAATCCATAACCCATTTTTTAAATTGTATGGGTCAATATAATAACATTTTCTATTTGTATCTATCTTCAGGAAATAAGACAGTTATGCACACATCTTATAGATCTGAAGAAGGCTTCTGCAGAGGAAATGCGTAGAAGTGTTTATGCCAACTATACTGCTTTCATACGGTGATTGTGCTTTATATTTTAATGTCTGAAAATTAGTTAGCATAAATGTTTTGATTTTCTTGTCTGTGGCATTACTKTCTTCAGATAATCATGCCTATAGATATTTTCCTTTTGATGTACTAGAGTAAAATGCCTCCATATCTATCACTTGTACTTTCTTCCCCATTATTCAATTCTGTTGGCTGTTCTGAACCATTTCCTATTGGAAACTCTATAGGACTTATTAATATCTGTTTAGAGGATAGACACAGTCAAGATAAATTTAATATGTAAAATTTTGTTTGCTACTACATAAAAAAGTTGTTGATCATAATGAGAGAGGGTGGGGTTGGAGAGAGGGAGAGGGTATCAAACAGTGCGTATCAAGGTGAAAGGTTCTTTTCTATGTTTGGGTGGAGATGGTCTTTCCCTCAGGTTAGTAGCCTATTTGACCCTTCTACCTTTGTGTGGCCCAAGAAGAGGGGAAGGATCTTTGTGGAGGTGTGTCAGAGCTGTGGTGATTTGGGCAATTTGGGAGGAAAGAAATGCAAGACTGTTCCTTGAAAGAAATGAGGCTGCAGTTATGGATTGTATTATGCACAGGGTTATACATTGGGTCAAATCTCTAGATGTCTTCTCTTCTTTTTCTTATGATGACATTTGCAGGAACTGGGAAGCTGTAGCAGAGAGTTAAACAAACAAAGCAAAAGTCTCTTCAGTTTGGACACCACCAAAAGAAGGTTTTATTAAGGTAAACTTGATGGAAGTTGTCATGGGAATCCAGGACCTTCTGGAATAGGGGGAGTTTTCAGAGATGTGAATGGTCACATTATTGCTTTATATTTGGGTCCAACAGGGATAGGTGACTCGTCCAATGCTGAGTTCCAAGCAGTACTAGAAGGGGTACAGATTGCTATAAGTTTGAACCTTAACAAATTTCTCATTGAAGGGGATTCTAAGATGGTGATGGGGTGGCTGAATGAAGCGAATGCAGTAAGATGGACTTATAAGGAGGTTCTCAAGAAATTTAAATGGTTATGGAAATAAGGATTCAATGGGGATGGAGATCGGTAGACAGTTTAGTAGACTATTTAGCCAAGGGGATTGGTTATTTTGGGTTTATCCCCGAGGCTGCATCTCGTTTCTTGAGTTGGGATGTTTTAATTGTGTCTTTTGTGTACTTGTCTTTGATTTATTAATAAATCCTCTTTTATCTTTCAAAAAACAAAAAATGATACAAGCAACAAAAAAACTTGGTATTGAATCTACTGTGATGTATGTGCTGCATGAAACCATGGTCTCTCAAGTTGGAAAAGTGTAGATGACACCAAGTGTAGAATAGTGGGTCCTATTTACTATGTGGTCTGAGAGCTTAAAGGACAAGCAGATTAGCAATCTACCTTTTTGAGCCATCTTGGATATGGAACTTATGAAGGTTTCTTGGTCAAATTAGCAATCTACCTTTTTGTCTTGGGATTCATGAAACTTAAGAAAATCAAGACACTAGATCTAGCAATGAAAATCTTTTATGAAATTCGGTATGCAGGATTTGGACAAAGGACTGTGGGGG